GACAAAAGGTCTTCCTTTTTTTTGGTAAAAGTCAGTTTTGGTGGATTTGGCACAAAGGTCTTCTTGTTCTGTCTCTTCATCCTGCCCTTTTTCTTTGTCTTCTGTATTTTAGATTGGAACGCTTGAGATCCAATGGTCCAAAGACTTGCAAGTCAAGATGAGGACCAATCCTAGTCCTTAACGTATAAGGATGTCTTGTCTCGCATCTTTCTTATCACGATGCACTAACGCGGGGAAATTGGTGACGGGAATTGGGGGATTAAACGAATTTAATCTAATGGAACATTTTAATATTTAAATTTATTTTATTAATTTTAATGAATTTGAAACTATGCTCAACATTGGCTTGTTTATTTAAAAGTACATTATAGTTGGATTTTTATCTAATCAAGCTCAAATCGAGTTTGAGTAGATCAAACTTTTTTACACATAAATTTCACTTGTATGTTAATAGAACTTAGTTTGAGTCGTATTTGATAATTTACCAAACGCAAAATTTTATTTAGGTTTGGTTTGAATAGTTTGTGAAACCAAATTCAAATAATTCTTATCGATCCAAAGTTAATTCGAATATCAAGTAATCTAGTTCATTTTTTAGTCTTTATTAGTGTATTATTGCTTTTCAAGTAAATAATTACTAAGCTAAACTCGATTCAAATATTAAGTGATTTAGTTTTATCAACTGGCAATATGTTTAAAATCAAACTTGGCCCTCACTAGTGTTGTAAGTGTCCAATATCCACCCACGCATCCCCCTCCAAAATGCCGCCCAACTCAGCCCATCATACTCATTGCCAACACTTCCCCTTCTTCAATTCTTCCCTTTTCCCTTCTTGCCCTCTGTCAATGTCTTTCAAACATTTCATGATTGACTCTGTCATCATGACTTTAATCAACGGTAATTGCTTTTATAAGTCTTGAAAATGATGGGAAAAGTGGGATCAAAAGGAACATGGAGATTATTTAGAGAGAATCCATGATTATTCCTACTATACAAGGAAGACTCAAAGGTGGTCTTCTTGTGTCCGTTTATCCTTCCCTTTATTGACCATTTTTATCTTCTATGACTAATTTTTCTTAGTGAATATATAGAAAAGGGTAACTTGAGTATCTCTAGGAGATGAGCAGTAATTACCTGATATCTAAACCACAATCAGTCTGTGTAGATTGGGCTATTTATGTTGTAGTTCAATATTAGATGAGAAGTGAGATTAATTTTGGCCAAAATTAGGAGAAGCATTTCAAGAAGTTTTGGACTAATTATTTTGATGGATTCTAAAACTTTATTAGCCCAAAAAGTTCAAGAATGTCCAAGATAAATTGTTCATAGAAAAATACAAACACAAAATAGTGGGAATACATATCATGAAAGAAATTAATTTTGTTTCAAGAATCATTTCTAGTATACAAATGTTGATCATTTTATATCCTATATTAACACAAATTATATTTGCTTCACAAAATTGGAAGAAACTTGAAAGCTTATCACGCATATAACATGCGAGCATTCATAATCAATGAGCAACGTAAGTTCCTCTACACTAGGTAAATGAAAATAATGCTAAAAAAAAAAAAAGAAAAACACAAAGCACTGGGCATTTGAATGTACTAAAAACAAAGGTGTGAATTTGATTTATCACCCATTTATAAACTAATTGAAGAGCACTGGGCATTTGCAGTCTGGAAACTTCAAGGAAAGCAGCTCTTCCAAAAGCAGTTTGGCTAGGGGACTCTGATCTCGAGCCTCATCTTGTGGATTGGTTGAAATGATAAATTGGGCTTCTTCACGTGATATTGATCTGGTTGTAGTATTGGCGAATTTAATTTATCATGCTACCCAAAACCATCCTAATTCTAACCTTAAATTGACCATTTTTTCGAAAGCAAGTTTTTCAAATATAATGTTACAATAATAGACAATATGATAGGTTGCAACTTTATCATTTATTTTATTATTAATTCTCTCTATTACTTGACCTGATGTGAATTAATTATTAGATTCTACTCACTTTTCGTAATTTATATTTATTTCAGGGAGTAGAACAAAAATATCACAATAAAGGCCAATTTGACAGTTATCGGGAAAGAGTTCACATAGCAGGCAATCGAGGGAATTTTTGGAACAACAAAATATGAGCCCTTGTTGGGCAAATTGGGCCGAAGTCTTCATTTTTTTCCGCACAGGAGCCGCCGCACATGAAAGGAGGCATGGGATAGGAATTAGAATAAATTGTGCAGAGAACAAGCACTATAGTTTTTTTAGCTTTTCTTTTAACTTTTCTCCTGAGTATTTCGTCCTGTAGTGGCTTTTGCTCCTGCGTCTGCCAGGAGCAACTAGGAACAAGCAAATTGGATGATGACTTTTGCTTTCGTTCTTAGTTGCTTTTCTTTTCTTCTCGGTAGGAGTAGACAAGGGATGATTTAAATCCCTTTGTCTAGTCAAGGAACAACGGAGGCTTTGAGTCGCCTAAAAATTGTGAGATCGATTTAATTTTATCTTTTCCTTTATTTATTGGTATTCGCATATTCCCTGGTTACAGTGCTTACGGTTATTTAATTAATTGATTGTCTTGGATCCGGATAATTAGTTAATTTGATAATCTATTGTCAATTGGGACATTAAATCCGTAATTGTTTAATTGTCTCAAAATAGTGATAACTGGCATAATTGGGTTTGTGTCAGGGGAATACGCGGGCTAATCTAAAATAACCCTGGTAGTGTGTTATTTGGTTAGAATAGGGCTCCTCTAATACGTAAGGCAATTGGGGAATTAAATCTTACGGGCGTATCTAGGATTATTTCTCAATTAGAGCAGTGATTAACGGGCGTACCTTAATCACCGACACAGTAAGGAGGGGTTGACTGCCATCGCTTGTTTGGTAGTTATAACCTATTTATTAGTAGATAATTGGAATTGCCTTTGCTTATCGATGATCAATTAGGTGAACCATTGCTGAAGTTATTCCTTGGCTAGATCCTTAATTATCATTCATTTGATTTTAGTAATTTATTATTTAATTTTTAGTAGTTTCTTAGATTTTATTTGAACTTCTTTTATTGTCACCTTCTGCATAAAAACACCCCCTTGTCACTGTGAATTTGAAAAGAAACAATTACCCCCAGTCCCTGTGGATTCGACCCTGCTCACCACTATCTACAGAAATTACTTTTAGTTTGAGCAGGTTTTATTATTGCACAGGCTTCGACAACCTGTCATAATAACTCAAAAAACGTCTCATCCATACAATATATTCATACACTGTTACAGTAAAATTTTTAAAAAATACCCCTAAAAACAGCTAATCCAAACAAACCAGTCTTTTTGTCAATAACTGCACTCCAAAACTACTAGACAAACTAAAGAAGTTTACTTGGAAAAAAAAAGTCCAAGTTATGGACTAGTTAAAATATGAACTTTGATTTACAAGGAGATAATAAAAGCAGATCAAAGACCATTAAGACTGAAGACGATGTCATAGAATTATTACTTTCAAGGATTATAATATTACGATACATTTCCAAAACCTTGCTTTGCCCCCTATACTAGTTCTAGTTTCAATTCCATAAACTCTATTAGCTATGCAAATTTTATTTTTGCATAGAATACATGCTTTGCATCATATCATCTTCTGCTGATGCCTGATTGTGCTATGTTTTTTTTTTTTTTTTTTTTTGTCTATATGATAGCTTCCTACACTATGGGAAGGAGAAGGGTCTGAAGAGGTCATGGGGTAACCTGAAGGGGACTGAACCACCGCTGGATCAGACGGGTGCACTACGCACCCGTCCGAATTTTTTTAAGCAATGCCACATTTAATTGTGACAAATTGGTGGGAGGCAATATTTGAACCCTTACCACCCACCCCACCAAGCCTTAATGCATTGGTGGTGGTCACCAACCCAAAGGCTGGTGGTTCTGATTGTGCTATGTAGGGGGAAAAAAGTGAGGCATTTAATAGGAGGCAAGAAACTTGCAAAAACTCAAAAACATAATCCAAGTTCTACATATGTGATGCATCTATTAATTTAACAAGAAAAGAAATGATTAAGAGACTCATATTGCCCCCGCTAATCACAAAGAAGTTACTCAGATGGTTCACTGAGTTGATATCAACCTGGAAATAAAGAGCATTGTTGGCCTACATTGAGGATCAGCGTGTAGACATTCTCTTGCAAGTTTGAAAATGGATATTAGGATCTTTTCAGTTTCTTGATTGGGATATCGAAGTCTTCTGTCGACCAAGTCTTTCAGTTCTACATCTTCATGATTTGAAGACATCACATTAGCAGTCAAGTCTCCGGGATGCTTTCCTTTGATTATTTCCATTGTCAGGACCCCAAAACTATAAACATCACACTTTCCGTTAACTTTCATTGTGTAGGCAAATTCTGCAAGATAAAGTTGGGAAACCATAATATGTGATTACGGTTGCACTTGGAAAAATTCACCAGCGGGTAAAAATTTATCTTGTCGACAAAAGAAAAAAGAGTAAAAATAATGTTAGGATACAACACCCATGCTTGTTTTTGCACAAATTTGAGGTTGGGCCCCTGTTGGCAAAGGTCCAATGGACTTCTGAGTCAAGCTAAGGAAATATCCTAGTCTTTCAAAACATGCGGACCTCGTTCTTATCACGATGCCTCAACGTAACGAATGGGGTGGCTTGTGGAGCCAGTGAGCCACCTACCTCTAAGATTTTGTAATTTTTCTTGACATTGGAGTTTAGGCTTAAATGAGTCTAATCAATTGGAATATTTTAATATTTAAACTTATTTGTTTATAAATTATGTTTAATCTTGACTTATTTATTTATCACGTTAAATTTAAACAATTTTTATCGAATCAAACTCGAGTCGATTAAGATTAGTTTGAATTTTTTAGAACTTAAATAAGTTTTTGTCGAATCAAACTCAAGTCGAGCTACTTGAGTCAAACTTGAGTTTGTGGCATAGATTTTTCTATAAGTAGAGATCAATCTATACCAGCTTTCTCATCCTTCACAAAATCAGTTTTCAATACATAAATTTTCCTCGAGCAAAAATGGGTTCCAAGGCACTTCTTTTCTTTTGCATCTCCGTGGCTGTAGTTCTAGCAATCACCTCACAGGCTGCTGGTAGGGAATTGGCTGAGACTTTCACGTCAGTTAACGATTGTAAGACATTTATTCTCTTATCCATTGTCCTCAATTTGTTCTTATCCTAACTTCTCTGAGCTTATGTCTGACATTTATTAACCTAAATTCAGGACCACAAAATTTCAAATTTGTAATTATGTACTAAATTTATCCGTACATGTCAAGCTTTGGAGTGTTAAGAACCTACTTCCATAAGGTTTTCATTTAAGCGTACAGCCCTTTACTGGCGTGGGACTTGGGTTGATTTGGATTAATTTACCTATCAATAGGTAGTATTTAAAAATCACTGATTTTGACTTGCATGTCGAAAGACAAATTTTAGACCTGAATATAATATTATTGGTTTGGTATTCTTTAAAACAAAAAACATGGAACACATTAGTCCAAAAAACATGAATTTCAAATTGTATGATCCCAGTGCCCAGATGAGTTTTTTGACATGATCATTCCCAGATTACGTTAATGAACGTGCATGCATTATTATCCTCAATGCAGCCACACTTATGAATCCTGACTATGTAGGGAATCCTCACTATGTAGGGGATCCTGGAGGAGGAGGCGGAGGGAACTATGGAGGTTGGGGCTATGGAGGAGGTGGTGGCGGACGCTATGGTCAAGCTGTGGATGCTGAGCCTTAGAACTAATAAAGCCAGCTTCAACCAAGGCTATTTTGAAGTGTGAAACACAAATAAGAGCCCGATTAGTCATCATGTAATATGAACTCCATGTATTTGAAGTATGTGAAGTTTTTTCTTTTCTTTTTTTTTTTTTGGATGTGATGGCCCAAAAATTAGTAACGTGTTATTATTTCAAATTGAGAACAAAACCAAGGTTATTTTTTGGTTGGTTTATAAGTCAGCTGATCATTATCAAATTGCTTTGTTCGCTTCCCCTTTGTACCCTTTAACTGTGGCCCTGCTCCTATTTGCGTTCTTAAACTTCAAAGTGGGACACTTCATTAACTCCCTTAATTACAAAATCTATGCCACTTAACTACAATATTTGATGGAATGTAAAAAAGAAAACTAACAAATAAGTTGCCACATTTTGTTTACTAATTATGATAACCAAAATAATCTAAATTTACTGAGGACATAATTGTAAATTCATGAGACCAAAAAGGAAAAGGAATAGAAAAAAGCCACTTAATTCTTCAAAAAAGATAAGTTTTTTTCCCCTTTTTCTTTGCTGTTTCTTCTTCTTCCTCCTCCTCCTTTCATTTTCTTCGTCTTCCTTCATTTTCTCTCTCAAACTCAAAAGAAAGATGCAGACTCCAATCTCCAAACTCTTAGATTGAATGACGAACCCACTTTAAAAAATCTGGCTATACCATCTTATCAGCTTCATTTTCCAATCTCTAAAAGGTAACATAAAATTTCTTATCTCTAGGAATTGAAGACATAAGTGGTGTCTTGCCAGCCATAATAGACCGAGACTTTAAGGGGGTGTTTTATACTTTTTAATACAATTATTGAAGTCTGATTTGCTGAAGAGCTTCTTGAGATCCGACCTGACAAGATGAAATATTGCTCTGGTTCAATTCACAAAGATGAAGCCGGTTTGACGAGGCAACAACAAGCACTGGAATTGCCAATTCCAGCCATATTACTAGAATTGGTTAATGAAAAAAAATCATGGATTTCTGAAAGCTAAAACCAAGGAGACCAAAGTGATTTTATTCTCTAATCAGCAGATTTTATTCACATGACACCCTTTCTACATCAATTTTGACAGCCATATTCAGTGTTGTATCCTTGTTTTGGTTAAGACTATTTTTAATTGAGAGTTACTAGGTTGAAGAGGTGTTTAACTTATAACTGAAGGTCCCAAGGGGAAGAACAGGTGCTGGTTGATTTGAAGGTGGGGATGGGAGGAGCTGGGTTGTAATGGTCGGCAATGCAGTGGGTGGCATCAAAGTAGTTTGTCTTTGATTTTCTTGTGGGTGCTATTTGCGACAAAATAATTTCTTGGGTTTAGTATTCAGTGATGGAGAAACCTGCATATGCATTCTAGTGTTAGATTAATTGATTGAAGCTATTGGTCATGGTGGTAGATCTGGGTTTTGAGAAGAGGAAGAAAAGGAAAGGAAAAAATGGAGAAGGAAGAAAGGGAAAGAAAAAAAAAGTAAATAGAAAAGGATTATTATCATTTTACCTTCTTAATATTTGGTATCAGTTTCCCTGAACGTTTTTTTTTTTATCATTTTATCCCCAAGACTAAGGGTTTGTTTGATAACATAAAAAAGTGTTGAATCTGAATTTTTTCAGACATTCAATTGTTTTGAGTGTTTGATAAATGAAAATTCATTTGCTGAACTTGTTAAGTAGTGCTGAACTTGTGTGTATTTTTTTCAGCACAAGAATCCTAACTGAATGCTTAATTTTGATAGGAATCAATAGAATTACTTCAATTACCTTATATTATCTACCAAATCTACCCTTATTTGTTAATTATGTTCAAAATTTTTATCTAATTAAACAATCTAATACTCTCTATCTAATGATTTTCTATTTCTTTTTTCTCTCTTTTGAATAATTTTCACGTCTTCTCCATACTCCTCATATGATATATTTCATCTTTTATATTAATTTGATTTAAAAATAAATATTGTCATTTTCATACCTAACATTTTTAGCTAATTAAATCATAGGTTCTATTTCTTTTTTGGATGAAAAGAGATAAGGGCAAATTTGTCAAATTTAACTTATTAAGCATTCAGTTATAAATGTTTATCAAACAGTATAAATAGATTTAACATTAAAATTCCGACATTCATATATTTCTTTTCAGTATTTAAAATTCAGCAAATTAATTGTTTCAGTATTCAGATTCAGTTTTATCAAACGGAACCTAAGGGTCTGTTTGATAACATAAAAAAGTGTTGAATCTGAATTTTTCAGACATTCAGATGTTTTGAGTGTTTGATAAATGAAAATCTATTTGCTGAACTTGTTAAGCAGTGCTGAACTTGTGTGTATTTTTTTCAGCATAGGAATCCTAACTGAATGCTTAATTCTGATAAGAATCAATAGAATTATAGAATTACTTCAACTACCTTATCTTATTTACCAAATCTACCCTTGTTTGTTAATTATGTTCAAAATTCTTATCTAATTAAACAACCTAATATTCTCTATCTAACGATTTTTAGTTTCTCTTTTCTCCCTTTTTAATGACTTTCACATCTTCTCCATACTACTCATATAATATATTTCATCTTTTATATTAATTTGATTTAAAAATAAATATTGTCATTTCCATTCCTAACAAATTTAAACTAATTAAATCATAAATTCTATTTCTTTTTTGAATGAAAGGATATAAGGGCAAAATTGTCAAATTAAACTTATTAAGCATTCAGCTATAAATATTTATCAAACAGTATAAATAGGTTTAGCATTAAAATTCAGACATTCATATATTTTTTCAGTGCTTAAAATTCAGCAAATTAATTGTTTCACTATTTAGATTCAGTTTTATCAAATGGAATCTAAGTGTCAAACTCAACAGAGTTTATTAATTCAAGTGATAAGACATGCTTACCCTTTAAATTTATTATCACTTTATCTCATAAACTATAACCTTATTATTAATTTATCTCATAGAGTTATTTTTAGACAATTTATCCCACCATTAAATCAACTTAACAAGTTAAAAAACTTATGAAAATAGTATCGTTTATTTTGTATAATAAAAATAACAAAAAAATTTAGAGTGGCTCTTCTTCTTTTTAGTGTCAAGAAAAAAAGTCAAAAATTAATCTCTTTCCTTTTGACAATCTTATTAATATTAAAAAAATAGAAAAATAGGGGAGCAAGAGAGAGAGAGAGCGCTCAATTTTTTTTTCAATACAAATAAGAAAGAATTCAATATTTTTATTATGTTAAAATTATTTCACTTTTCTGTTTACTACTAAATTCCAATCCAAATCTTGAGGACATTAAACTAATACAATAATATTAGATTCTTTCTTATTTTTTCTTTGTAAAATCAAATTTTCTGTCTCCTTCTATCCTATCTCCTTTTTCTTTCCATAGTATTAATAAGTGCGAAAAAAGAAATTCGAGAAAATCTTTTATTTTTCTGTTTTTGGAATCTTAGAATGAAAAAAGGAAGAATAATTATTCCAACTTTTTTATTTTAATTATATATATAAGGTAAATACATTTAAAAAATTTTTAATATACTTTTTAGATTAACGACAGGGTAAAATATCTAGAAAATGATGTTAGAGAATAAAGTGATTATATCAGTATAATTTAAAAGGATAAAGTGATAATAATAATCAAGTAATGCTATAAAATAAAAGGGTATTTTTGTTAAAAATTTATTAACATGCTGAGTTGAATTACCTATGAGGTGAAATGACTGAAAGATAATATCAGGGGTAAATTGATAGTAATGTTATAGTTTAAAGGGTTAAGATGATAATAACCCAATAGAAAATGTTACTTAATTTCAAAAATTTTAAGGGAATATTCTTTGGAATCTCTAAATTTACATTTATGTCCCCAATAAATTTGATTTTTTAGAGTTAAATACCAAAAACCCTCATGTGGTTTGACTAATGTTCACTTTACCTCCTCATGATTTGGAAATCTACAATTTAACTCCCTGTCATTTCAACTAAAGTGAATGTCTAATAGAAAACATCTACAATAACGGTATTTCTGTTAGACTTTCACTTTGAGTGAAACGACAGGGAGTTAAATTGTAGGTTTCCAAACTATAGGGAGGTAAAGTGTACATTTGGCAAACCACATGGGGGTTTTTGGTATTTTACCCATTCTCAAATGCATGAAACATTCTTCCAAGGGTTTGACTTGTAGAGGGGCAATTTTGACATTTTTCTTTCAGACGTTAGTTTAGATGTTTTCCGTCAGACTTTTATTTTAGTTGAAATGACGGGGAGTCAAATTATAGGTTTCCAAACCATAAAAAGGTAAAGTGAACATTAGTCAAATCACAGGGGGGTTTTTGGAATTTAACCCATTTTTTTAAGTTACAATTGCAAGTTAACGGAATATGCCAATTATTTTGTTGGTTTTGTATATTCCCTCCAGGATTCTACTCAACGGCCTTAATTGTTTTGATCGACTAAGAGTCTCCCCCATGTTTTGTACTGTCCACTCTTTATATTGACTCAATAGTCCGTTAATATTATAGGCTTTTTCTATCAAAAAAATTTGATTTTTGTCCATATTATATTGATTTATTGATCAAAACAAGGACAACACACACACACACACACACACACACACACACACATATATATGTACACACGCACATAAGTTATTACATAAACATGAGGGAGACAAATTGAGTGGTACGGAAAAAGTGTAAGTAAAAAGTCCCGAGTTCGAGTTCTCTTATCTATACTGAAAAAATGTTAAAAAAGGTTATTCTATATACATGAGGACACGCAACAACATCAAAAACTTAATGATAATACTACTATTAGATATATAAGGATCAAATAAAAATGATTTTGTCATATGGCAGTTGCTTGTTTTCAATCGAATTCAAGGTTGTGCCCTTGTTGGCAAAGGTGCAAAGGACTTACAGGTCAAGATGGGGGCCAATCCCAGTTCATAATGTATAAGGTTGTTTTGCCTCGTCTCTTTCTTATCAGGATGTACCAACGTGGAGAAGGGGTGGCAAGTGGGATGACTTACCCCTAAGATTTTTCAATTCCTATTTCCTGACATTGGAATTAGGAGAAAATAATGAATCTAATCAAGACAAATATTGCAATGCCGCCACCTCTCCCTAGGGCGAACCCTAAGGCATCAGCGGGACTCCTGCCCAACTCT